TTCTCGAACTCCTGACCTTGAGCGATCCTCCCACCTCTGCCTCCCAGAGTGCTGGGATTACAGGCGTGAGCCACCGTGCCCGGCCGGGCAAATACTACTTAAAAGAAGATCTCACCTAACCAATATATCATCGCCAAAAGCAGTGGTTGATTTTTAAGTATTAAGTGATACTTTGAGAATGAAGAAATCACAAAATCAACTTAGAATGATAAACTTAGGATCTATATCATTTAATTTCCCTTGCGCCTGCTCTGCCAGTTTAATCTGTTCACATGGACCAAGTGGCTTCCTTTGCACATTTTCTGAAGTACGGTGAGATTTAATGCTAACACAAAGCACCTGGCAAACAGCACCGTGCTCTGCAGTGTTCCAAAAATGCCACTAAGTTGTGCAAATTTGTTATAATCACGTCTGGAGGGTTAAATTAAGTTTTATTTGTTCTCCTTCATTTTACAATAATCTCTCACAACTGCCTTTTACAACAGAGCACATATCGGGGCATATGACACAAAATTATTAGTTGTGTTTTCTACACAAGTTGTAAATTGTCAACGTATCGTGTGAGAGTTCTCCTGACAGGGAACCGAATTTTTTAAAAAAGTCATTCTAAGTTTACTAAGTAGAGAAATTCTGCAGTAATCATTCATCACCACATTCACATTCTATGTATTTTCTCATGGTCAACAAACTGACTCAGATGATTTAAGTTATCCCACCACTTAAAGAGAAAAGTCTCTACAATAATTTTAAACCATGGTGTTATCTTAATTTCACCACTGGCTGCTTTTCTCAAAAGTTGTTCTAGTTCTTCCTTTGACACATAGCAGTAGCTTTTCACCTCATTGGGGTCCGGGTTCAACGTCACGTTCTTCCTCACAAACAGGATGTAGTCAATTTCATGTTCACCCCAGACACCATCAGACTGGGCCTTGTAGTGAATGCGTGTCAAATAATTTATTTCTTCTGGAGGAACCTAACACATTGAAAACATAACAAAAAAGTAAAATTAAGTCACCACATTATGGCAATATCTTGAATAGCAGTATGGTTTTAGAATTAGAACTTTTAAAGTATTAACCTCCTATCAATGACACCTAGAAACGCCAATATATGGAAAAATTATTACATTGTTATTTCAAGTGTTTACATTTTTTTCCATAGGAGCAAACATATAAAGTTGATGTTTTTGAAATAGTATTAAAAAAAGGTGATCATTCAATGTGACATTCTCCTTCATATTTTAAGATTACCTTTCAAAGAAAAAATTCACCATTTTAACTAGATGATAAATACTTTTTTTTATCTAGGTCTCATTTAATGGGGACAATTTCAGGAAAAAAAACCACTTCAACCAATTAGATTTGTAGTTCATAATCATAAGGATTTCTATAAGAAAATATTCATCTTTGAAAATTAGGCTTACACAGTGGTTCACAGATCAATCCATCTCAGTACTGAGCTAAATTCTGACAAGTGATATTAAGAAATCGGAATTTAAGTAATCTTTATTCGAAGTGCTTTCTGGGGCTAACTCGTATCCCAGCAGGTTGCCACGTGGAGACCTGTGCCTGAATGGAACGTTCTGCCGCGGGTTCCAGTGTCAGCCTGTGTGGCTGCGAGGAGAGCACGGTACCTCGTCCAGGGGGATGCCCAGCTCCGCGTGCAGACGCCGCTGCGCTGCTCGCCGCACTCCCAGGGCGTCGTTCTCCTCAAGCTCCCCTGGGTTACTCAACGGGTGACTGCAACAAGTGTTGGTGAAACAATCTGGAAAATGTTAACAAACACATAGGTCAACTGTCCTTCAAAGCAGGTCTGAAACATCAAAAAAACCTTTTATAAGTAACAGAAGAATGATTTTTTAGGATTTTAAAATCAGTTATTGACTGATCTGAGCTCATCAAAAAATAAATAAAATCAGTTATAATGGGCTATCATTAATTATTTTGTGAAACAGACATTTGTAGGTAAGTTCTTTATTAATGCCTCCTTAGCCAAAAACATCGAAATGTGCAGATGATACAGATTAAAAAAAATATATACGTATACACACACATTCCTATCCCTTAGTAGCTCTTATCCTTTACTGCTGTTTTATTAGGTTGCGTTCATTATATATGCTTGTTTTATGTAGAATATGAAATTATGTCATTCATAGGATTCCCCTTTCGACCTTAGCTTTTGTAAGTTCAGAGTGATAAAATGTACAAAAAAATTCGTACCTTAAGTAAACTCACCTGGAAAGGTAATCTTTGCATCTGACCTCTGCTGTAGCAGGAGCTTATTTTCAGTGTTGAATAAGAAGACGCTAAAAGCCCGATGCAATAATCCTGAAAGCAAAAAAAAAATATCACTAAGTCTTAAAATGCCAGTTACCTGCCCGATGCTCCCCGGTGGTTCAGCAAAACACCAGTAACTTGCTGCTGGTTTTGCCTTTTC